AAAAACACAAATGTGGAGGCTAACAATATGCTACTAAACAACCAATGGGTGACTGAAGAAATCAAAGAGGACATAGAAAAATACCTGAAGACAAATGAAAATGGAAACACAATGATCCAAAATCTATGGGATACAGCAAAAGCAGTTCTAAGAAGGAAGTTTATAGTGATACAAGTCCACCTCAGGAAACAAGAAAAATCTCAAAACAAACAAAGCAATCTAACTTCACACCTAAAGGAACTAGAAAAAGAGGAGCAAACAAAACACAAAGTTAGTAGACGGAAAGGAATAATAATGATCAGAGCAGGCCAAAAGCCTGCCATAAGGCCCTGCCTCGGTGGATTTCTCTCTTCTAGAGGTCCTCAAAATATCAAGATTCCTGCACCTGCCAGAAGAGTCTTTCCCATTCACTTAATAAGGCTGCTCAGAACCCAAGAGTCTCCAGTTTCTGGGGGGACCAGGCAGAGAGAAAACAAAAATATCTCAATTCTACCCACAGGTGTAGTTTACCAAATTGCTGTAAGTCATAACTAACTTGAGGAAAAGGCTTCCCTATATCTGGAAAACACAGATCAAAACCAGTAATATTCCAGACAAAAACCATAAAAATTATAACCATATTCACCAGTTCACTCAGTAACCAATCCTTCTGTTAGCTTTTTATGAAGCCATCAGGTCTTCCATTAGGATTCTTTAATTTCTTACCCAGTTCAGCCAAATGATCTAAAATTTATCAGAGACCTGTACTGGTCAAAAGGTCTTTCCTACGAATCTTCTTAAAGATGAAGCACTTTTCAAATGAAAACTACAATGAGGCACCAACTCACACCCGTCAGAACGGCCATCATTAAAAACACTACAAACAACAAATGCCGGAGAGGATGTGGGGAAAAAGGAATCATCCTGCACTGTTGGTGGGAATGTAAATTGATACAGCCACTATGGAGAACAGTATGGAGGTTCCTCAGAAAACTAAAAATATAGTTACCATATGATTCAGGCAATCCCATTCCTGGGCATATAGCCAGACAAAACTCTAATCCAAAAAGATACACGCACCCCTATGTTCATAGCAGCACTATCCACAGTAGCCAAAACACGGAAGGAACCAAATGTCCATCGACAGATGAACAAGTAAAGAAGATGTGGTACATATATACAATGGAATACTACTCAGCCATAAAAAAAAACAAAATAATGCCATTCACAGCAACATGGATGCAACCAGAGATTATCATATTAAGTGAAGTAAGTCAGAAAGAGAAAGACAAATACCATATGGTATCACTTATACATGGAATCTAAAATATGACACAAATGAACCTATCTACAAAATGGAAACAGACTCACCGACATAGAGAACAGACCGGTGGTTGCCAAGGGGGAGGGGACTGGGGAAGGGATGGAGTGGGAGGTTGGGGTTAGCAGATGTAGGCTTTTATACATAGAATGAATAAACAACAAGGTCCTACTGTAGAGCACAGAGAACTATATTCAATATCCTATGATAAACCATAATGGAAAAGAATATTAAAAAAAAAAAAAAGAATGTAGGGACTTCCCTGGCAGTCCAGTGATTAAGACTCCACACTTCCACTGCAGGGGGCACAGGTTCAATCCCTGGCTGGGGAGCTAAGATCCCACATGCCGCAGCATGGCCAAAAAAAAAAGGTATATATATGTATAACTGAATCACTTTGCTGAACAGTAGAAATTAACACAACATTGTAAATCAACTACACTTCAATGAAAAAAATTAAATTAAAAAAAGATGAAGTACTTTGCAATAGCATCATAGTACGATAACTGTCTATAAATGACGAAAGACTTAAAAAGGCACAGTTCAACAGCTGATTACCATGTAATCAATGAAAAAACTTGGTTACAATAACTAGAATTATGACTGATTATAATCTTAACCTTTAAAAACCTTCATCTCTAGCAAAACCCAAGAAGCAAATAATTGTGAACTCTGTCATACCAGCATTTCCTGACTGGAAAACTTATGCTTTAGTTTTCCTCTTGTAAGAAGGCAAAGACCCGACAGCAATTAACGTTCCAATATTTTATCCTATTTGAAATGACCCAGAGATTTCAGTTTTCCTGCTAGAGTTTAAAAAGGCCTTTTTTTTTTTTCTTCACTCTTAGAGATCACAAATGATTAGATTAAAGTTCCTGAGAGCCCAGGTAGGTCATTTACATCTCAAAGGCACAGGAAGAGAAATATCCATTCCTTCTAGAAAGCTAACTTTCTCTAATGGCATATGCAAAAACCAGTTTTAGAACAGCAAAAGATTCCCATCTTGCCCATTTTCAGGGATTTTTTTTTCAGTTTCTAAATAGCCAATTCACTTTAAACAATAACAGTAACAGACAATAATACATATTCACTCACATTCACATGCCTCACTTTCAGAGGAACATGAATCAGCACTCAAGTCAGCCTTCGCCTCAGCTGTTAGCTCAGCACCTGTGGCCTTTCTTAACACAAAAAGCAATGGCCAGCCCACAGCTGTGGCCACTGTCTTATTGTCTAACTTTTTTTTCCCCCACTGTAATGGCAGCCAATATCTCCACAACAGCCTTAGGGGTGTCTATGAGTTCTTTGTGCTCTCTTGGGGGCCCCCATTCATCAAGGACAGCCACCCCAGAAGTTCCCCTGCAACTTTGGGGATCGCTCCTTCAACTTTCAGCCCCACACGTTAGTGGACGGCCCCCGCAAATATCCATTCCCCATCCTTATTTCCCAACATCTCGGTGCTCACAGGAGTTTCCTTGGTCTCCTGGCTGCTCCACCAATTGCTGGGCTGCACCCCACAGATCCGCAAAGCCTGTACTTGCCCAGATTCAAGACTGAAGAAAGAGCCCAGAGTCAGCGACAGAGCCATCAATGCTTTAATGCAGGGGTCCCTAGCCCCTGGGCTGCGGACCAGTACGGTCTGCGGCCTGTTAGGAACCGGGCTGCACAGCAGGACGTGAGCGTCAGGCGAGGGAGCGCAGCTTCATCTGCGGCTCCGCATCGCTCCCCGTGGCTGGCGTTACCGCCTGAACCCTCCCCACACCCACCCAGAAGGTGGAAAAATTGTCTTCCACGAAACCGGTCCCTGGTGCCAAAAAGGTTGGGGACCGCTGGTTTAGTGGATGGGGGAGCTTACACATCTGAAGCAAGGTCCTGGAGCAACTCCCCACCATGTGCAGCAGACGGGGGAGGGGCAGGACATGGCGGCAGTCTTTGCTCCCCTGGAGAGGGGGAGGTTACCAGGTGTAGGGGAAATTGACATCATGTTGGCTCATCAGTTACCAGGGAAACTCGCAGAGGAGCACTCCCCTCACCGCCCCTTTGACAAGCTATCATGGTGGAGATGTTCTGATCTAAAGGTTAGAACAATCACTAGCTGGGGTAGGGGCAAGTATATAGGAAGGTCAGTCATGTGAGTAGGGTGTAAAATATATATATATATATGTATCTCAAATGGAATATTACTTAGCCATAAAAAGAGAATTATTGTCATTTGCAACAACATGGATGAATCTAGAGGGTATCATACTAAGTGAAATAAGTCAGAGTAAAACAAACACTATTGATACTTGATCTCACTTATATGTGGATTCTAAAAAAACAAAACAAACCCTTAGATGCAGAGAACAAACGGGTGGTTGTCAGAAAGGAGAGAGGTAGAGGTGTGGGTGAAATAGGTGGAGATTAAGAGGTATAAATCTCCAGTTATATAATTACTAAGTCATGGGGATATAATCTACAACATAGGGAATGTGGTCAATAATATTGTAACAACTTTAGGGGCAGATGGTAACTAGACTAATTGTGGTGATCATTTCATAATGTACGCAAACGTCAAATCATTATGTAGTACACCTGAAACTATCATAATATTGTATGTCAACTATATTTCAATCAAAGAAAGAAAAAGAAAGCTATTAGAGCTAGTTACTCCTACCCCCTCCTACGAGTCCTAGTGCAGGTAAGTAACGCAGCTGTCCATTAGCACACCTGAAATCCCACACCAATGTGGCTTTCCACAGGCAGGGTGAGAAAACTAGAGGCCCACAATTAACTTCTTATAAGGGAATATCTATGTCCCTTTTTAAAGTGTAATTTTCCTAATATCATAATAAAATCCCCCCCCCCAAAAAGAACATTAATTACAATATGGGATAATAAGGAGTTCAGAGATATCGCAGAGGGGTGGCTCAACTATGCAGGTGGCTACTGGATAAGAAAAGACTTCTTGGGACTTCCCTGGTGAAGACTCTGTGCTTCCACTTCAGAGGGCACAGGTTTGATCCCTGGTCAGGGAACTAAGATCCAGCATGACTCACAGTGCTGCCAAAAAAAAAGGACTTCACACAAGTTAGGCTTTGAACAATAAAGATGATTTGCCATGCTGATAGTTTGGAGGGGGGGTGAGGGAAGCAAGGGTGGGCAGAAGGCATCCCAAGACAAGGCGGTGAGGGACACAATGGTGTGTCCGAGGAGGTGGGAGCTCAGCTGGATTGCCACAGCCCTGGTGGGCAGCTGCCAGAAAGGAGGCTGCAGAGTGATCGGCAGTCGTGTCTTGAAGAAGCCACCATACTGTGCCCAGGAGTTTGCACTTTGCTCTGGGGATGTGTTTTTCAAAATGAGGGTTGTAATTCATTCAAGTACGGTGAAGTGAATTTAGTAGGACAAGACCAGTATTTTTAAAAATAAAAAGGAAATTAAATGTAGACCAGAATAAAATAGAGAAAAATGATACTCTCTGTATTAAGAGCAAGTACCAGGAATTTCCTGGCAACCCAGTGGTTATGTCTCCGTGCTCTCACTGCCGAGGGCCCTGGTTCATTCCCTGGTCAGGGAACTAAGATCTTGCAAGCCGCGCAGCGGGGCCAAAAAAAAAAAGTAAGCACCATTTTGTGAAGATGGTGTTTGAGTTTTATATATTATGGCAGATACTACAAGTTTTCCATCAATCCATGCTCCTCTTCTTCGTTTTAATATTCAGATCCCCAAGTGTCGGCATGTGGCCACCCAGCAGGAGTCTACATTGTCCAGCCTCTTTTGCCGTCAGATGTGGCCATGTGCCTAAGTTCTGGCCAGTGCAGTGTGAGCAGCCATGGTGTGTGCCACTTCTGGGTCCTGCTCCTGAAGGAATGGTATGCAGTCCTTTGTGTCTTTCCCTTTTCCACTGGCTGGGATACAGACTTGATGGTAGGAACTAGAATAGTCACTTTGGGCCCAGAGCTGAAAGCAATGGTTTGAGTGTTAAAGCCTTGAAAAGCAGACTATAAAAGAGAAGTCAAGTTATGTAAAAGATAATTTCTATCTTAGTTAAGGGACACTTAGTTTCTGTTACAGTATCTCAAACCAATCCCTAGTAAACAGATGTATGTGTATGTGTGTATGTACATGTGTGTTCATATATGGATATGTGTTTACACACACACACATCAGGCCACATATAAATTATATAAGGATTGTGGTTCAAAAAAATAGAGGAACTGCCTGCCCTTAAAATATGTTTGAAGCAAGTGAGCAATTTGATCAGATTTGTGTTCCCAAGCTGAAAGGAATCTTACAGATCACTTAGGCCAGTTAGTCCCTCTTCCTATGGATGGGAAACTGAGGTCCATACAGGTTAGGAAGCTGACTCAGGGTCCTAAGCAGCAAGAGCTGGTCCTTGACCCCTGACCTCTGATTCAGGACTGGGCCCTTTCTGTGTCACCAGGTGACAAAGATTTATCTTGCTCTCTCTTTCAATCCTCAAACGCTGTTCTGTGTCATATTGTTCCCCTAGATTTCTAATTAATTCAGTTCAATTCAGCAAATATTTATTGTAAACCTAGTACATACTAAGTTGCAAAGACATAGGAAGGACCTTCATAAAAAGTTCCTTAACTGGTATCATAAATAGATACATAAATAGATCTGCGTTTAGGCACAGATCAGTATCTGTACATACATTTCCTAACTCTGGGCCCTGAGATGGCATAGAAGCAGTGACACCGCAGGAGCAACTGAGCACATCTAGAACCCAGATTTGGTTTTTAAATACCATTCTTCCATAAAAGGAACCAAGGTTCCTTAGAGAAGTGGTTGATTCTGGGCTGGGGAGGCAAAACAGAAGACGAGCATAGGGCATCTTGTTGTGACAGGAAGTAGGAGAGTGCTCAGAGAAGGTTGGGAGCTCTTTGAAAGGACACAGGAACCAACCTGAAAGTGCTTCCAATGGCCAAAGCTGGAATAGTTTGTGCAAGACAATAAGTAACCATAGTTTTGGATTTTCTAACCCATAGAATAAAATAAATAACCATGACTCCATACTGATATAAATAACTCATTGCATAAAAAAAGACTTCTTTAGGGCTTCCCTGGTGGCGCAGTGGTTAAGTATCCTCCTGCCAATGTAGGGGACACGGGTTTGATCCCTGGTCTGGGAAGATCCCACATGCTGTGAAGCAACTAAGCCCATGCGCTACAACTACTGAGCCTGTGCTCTGGAGCCTACGAGCCACAACCACTGAGCCCCAGAGCCACAACTACTGAAGCCCACATGCCTAGAGCCCGTGCTCTGCAGCAAGAGAAGCCACTGCAATGAGAAGACCGTGCACTGCAACAAAGAGTAGCCCCTGCTCACTGCAACTAGACAAAAGCCCACACACAGGAACGAAGATCAAATGCAGCCAAAAATAAATAAATAAAATTAATTAATTAATTTTTTTAAAAAAAGCCTTCCTTAACTGAGTATCTAGATGACTAGAAATTTGAAGATGTCAAAACTGAGTGGCAGGGCTTCCCTGGTGGCGCAGTGGTTGAGAGTCCGCCTGCCGATGCAGGGGACACGGGTTCGTGCCCTGGTCTGAGAAGATCCCACGTGCCGTGGAGTGACTGGGCCCGTGAGCCATGGCCGCTGAGCCTGCGCGTCTGGAGCCTGTGCTCCGCAACGGGAGAGGCCACAACAGTGAGAGGCCCATGTACCGCAAAAAAAAACAAAAAACAAAACAAAACAAAACTGAGTGGCAGTTGAATAGGCTTGAATAATTACATTTTGTGGTAACTGAAACTAAAACCTGCTTGGAGTGGACAGACAGAAGGTTAAAGACTTAGTTCTCGTCTTGTCTCTGCCACTCAACATCTATAAAATGAGGATAAGACCATCTACCTTGCTGACCTCATGATTCTCCAAAGAAATAAAGTATATGAAAGAAAAGTTAAATGCAAAAATAAATAAATAAATAAAACAAAAACTCCTTAATCACCAAGGACTTCAACCATCCATATCATGATAAAATTAATCTTTATTATCTGTGGATTCTGTATTTGTCAATTTGCCTTCTCGCTAAAACTTATTTGTGATCCACAAATCAATATTCACAGTGCTTTCGTGGTAATTTTAGATGTATGCAAATTGTCAAAAAATTTGTCACCCACCATGCATGACTTGCCCAGCACTGCCAGCTAAGGTGGGATAAGGTGATACTGCCTTCTTGTTTCAGCTATCATATTGTAAACAAGTGTCCTTTTGTGGTAAATTTAGTGCCATGCTTTTGGCATTTTTGTGCTTATTGTTGGTGACTCTGCTGTTTAAAACTGCCCCCATGTGCTAGATAAGCTTCCCTCAGGCATGAATTATAGGACTGTTGGCCATGAGTTTAATGTGAATGGATCAATAATATATATTAAATAATACGAAGCACACCCGAAATGTTTGTGCCCAAAGGCTCACAGGAACCTAACCCTGTATTTCCCCTAAGAGTAGTCATTCACTATTCACTAATTCAGTGTTTGCAGCAACTTTATAGAACACAGCTACTGTGAATGACAAAAACTGACAGTATTTAGTAGCACCTTCTATGTACCTGGCCCACCCTATACTTTCTTTTTTTTTTTAATTAATTAATTTATTTTTTGGCTGTGTTGGGTTGTCGTTGCTGCGCGCGGGCTTTCTCTAGTTGCGGCGAGCGGGGCTACTCTTCATTGCAGTGCGCGTTCTTCTCATTGTCGTGGCTTCTCTTGTTGTGGAGCACGGGCTCTAGGCACGCGGGCTTCAGTAGTTGTGGCACATGGGCTCAGTATTGTGGCTCGTGGGCTCTAGAGTGCAGGCTCAGTAGTTGTGGCACACGGGCTTAGTTGCTCTGTGGCATGTGGGATCTTCCCGGACCAGGGATCGAACCCATGTCCCCTGCATTGGCAGGCGGATTCTTAGCCACTGCGCCACCAGGGAAGTCCCGCCACCCTATACTTTCTTTGACATAATCTCAAATATTCCTGACAGCATGCTAGAAAAAAGGTTTTTGTTTTAGGCTTCTGCCCGTCATCCAAGTGCTGAAGTTGGCTGGCTCTTCTGTCATTTTCTTACCCCTGACAGATGTCTAATTAGCTGGGTACTTTGTAGTCACATTTTTTTTTTCAAGTAGGCCAGTAATCTTTCTTGATTACTATATTCAGTCCTTGCCAATTTAAGAGAGAAAATATTTACAGAGGTGACAAACACTTGAATTTATTTTTTCAAAAATTTCCTGCAACTTCTTATTAAGAAAGACTTCAAACTGAAAGAAAGGTTGAAAAAATAGTAAAATGAATACCCATAAACCTTTTGAAGACTTGTTAAATGGGAAAGTGATCAGTTTCATGTAGAGTTAGTGGAACTAGAACCAAGGAAGGGAAGGTAGCATAAGACAAACTTCAGCTTGTAACAAGGAAGAATTTTCTCTCTTGCAAGGAGGATGGACTCAGCTAAGGTAGAATGAATGCCTACAGACAGGGGTATGGTGGAGCTGATCGCTATACTGGGTAGGAGGGAGGTCTAGGCAGCAGGTCAAGCTGTCTATGAGTCCACAATCCACTGCTTTTTCTGAGTTCTAGGATTGCCACAGTATTGTTTTCATAGTGGTTGTATAGTATTTCAGCCACCTCATGTGTTAACTCAGCATTTGAGGACAGATCTGAGAGACCAACCTCCATTTGTAATGTGGTTTCTCTGAAAAGATGTGTTGAATTTCAAACAAGTGATAAACAAACTTTTGAAACATGACCCTATAAGAAGCTGGAGAATTGTTGTTCTTCTTTTGACTTGTCCTTAAACTCCTTGAAGCATCCCAGCTGCCCTTCTAACGCTACTGTTCTGGGATTTGGGGACTCTTGTGTTTGCCTTATTAAATTATAATTTCCTAAACTTCAGATTCCAACATGGATTTGACCAGACAGGAAGGAAGAAGACCTGAGATCTGGCCCTGCTGAGTCAGATTCTCCTGGCTCAGCTCCATGGTTTTGTCTGAAGTATATGCCTAGGGTGGCAGATAATCTTGCCCCACTAAGAACCTGCCATGACATCTTCAGCCAACATTCTCTTCTCTTCATTCTCTCCTTATGTGGCTATTTGTATCTGTACAACGTAGACAACATATTTTTGGTGTGTATTTTATTGTGTAACCACAATATATTTTGACATTTTATTATGTGTCTTCTTGTCTGTTCTCCAGTTGTTCTGTGTGCCTTACTCTCACCTTTTCATAACATTGTAAACTTTGACCTTACATCTGCCCCTAATATATTCATCTTTTAGGGTCTCTGTAAAACCAAGGGCAGCAGCAGTGTGGTGTGTAAGGTGGGACCATAAATTTGGAGTCAGATAAACTTAGGATTCTACTCTGCCATTTACAGTCAGCCCTCCGTATCCACGGGTTTCACATCCGAGGATTCAACCAAATGCAGATAGAAAATGTTCGGGAAGAAAATAAATTCCATAAAATTCCAAAAAGCAAAACTTGAATTTGCTGCACTGGTAACTATTTATATAGCATTTACATTGTATTTACAACTATTTACATAGCATTTGCATCATATTAAGTGTTAAAAGTAATCTAGAGATGATTTAAAGTATATGGGAGGATATGTGTAGGTTACATGCAAATACCATGCTGTTTTCTATAAGGGACTTGAGCATCTGACTGTACTAGCCATGTGACCTTGGTAAATTATTTAACTTCTAAGTCTTGGTTTTCTTATCTCTAAAAGGGAAATGATTATGCACTTGTAAAGTGTCTGTCATATGCTAGGCACCCAATAAATGGTCATGCTCAAAAATGACATGCTGTATGACACCATTTAAATGAAATTCTAGAACAGGCAAAACTAATCTATAGTGACAGAAACTAGATCAGTGGTTGCCTAGGGCTGGTGGGGGTGGGTTGGGTAATCAAGGAAAAAGGCCAAGGGAACTTTTGTGGGGGTGGAAATATTCTATCTTGATTGTGGTAGTGTTTATATGGGCGTGTACGTTTGTCAAAACACATGGAACAGTGCACTTAAAATAGGTGCGAGTTAGTATATGTAAATGATCCCTCGATAAAGTTTGTTTCAAAAAGAATGTTCATTCCCTTCCTCTCTCCATCAATGAAAATGTGTTAGATTAAGGCACACATTCCAGGGCCAAATATACATTTTATCTTTTATTTTAGATTATTCATATTGCCGTATAATTTCCCCCATGAATCGGTATAAGTAAATGAGACTCGGCTTGATATCAAATTTCACTTTTTAACTGACTTGTATTATAAAATTGGAGAGATGTGTCATGAGGGGCGTGAGAGGGCAGACACTGGTCTCCAAGATACAATGAAATATACTTAAAGACACCATACATTTACAAAAAATCACTCACTTAAGGGGAAAATATTTTTCTGGTGAAATAGTAAAAGCTTGCCATAAAATAAAATGATAGTGATGAGGGCTTGGATGAATGGAGTGGCCTGAGGGAGCTTTTTACTTTTGCTTACTCTGCATGTATCCCCTCCCCACAACCACATGACCCTCTTCCCATAATAGCTCCTCCTTCCATCCAAAGGGGAAGGGTGCATACCAGATGTCTCTTAAGGAATTTCCTTGGAATCTGCTCCCAAAACTCTTTTGCTTCCTTTTCACTGGGCAGAACTTTGTCATGTGTCCACAGCTAGCTGCAAGGGAATGTGAGGGAGTTAGTCTTTATTCTTAAGAAAGGCCATATGACTAGCTAAAAAATCAGAGGTTCTATGACCAAGGAAAGAAAAGAATAATAGATGTTGACATAGGCAACAATTCATCTTTGCCCAAAGCCATATCAGGTAACAGAATATTTCATATATAATGGCAGAAAATTACAAACTACCAAAATTAATAATGTACACCCATACTGTAGCCGTAACAAAATGATTATGTTTGTCCATAGTTCTTGAAATGGAAGCATTTCGATAGTACATTGTTAAGTGGGGGAAAACAGGTTACCAAAAATATGAGCTCTGTTCTATAAAATTATATATAGATAATATGTGTGTACATATAAATATATACATATTTAAATATAAATATGGATGTATTTCTCTCTGGAGTGGTAGAATTACATCATATAGCTTTAATTCACTTCATACCATTATTTTTACTAAAAAGCTTGTATCATTTTTATAAGCAAAAAAAATTCTTTTCACTTACAAAATATGTGGGCATCTGTGTCTCTAAGGAACTTCATGAGTGGAGCTGAGAGGTGAGCAGTGGCAGGGTGGAATTCAGGGGTTGGGAAGGTCTCCATCATTTTCCTGCAGGCACTCAAGTCATATTCAGTTCCTGGGTTCCTGGGAGCCCCTGGGCAGTGGTATCTAGGAGGCTATTGATCCCCAGACCTGAACTCAGGAGAGAGGTCTATGCAGGAGTTGTGGCAATCACCACGAAGAAGACGGTCTGTGAAGCCAGGGGAGGAAGCACAATACGGTGGCGACCATGCTGGGCGTCTTCCCTCGGCCTCCAGAGCTATTCCCCACCCTTCTCCAGCTTGCTCTGTGCCTGGAAAGGCTGACCTATGTGGACTGCCTCACACCAGACTCCCTGCCTTCTGGCTTTCAGCTGGGTTCAGTCCATGGAAGGCCCTGGTAGGAGATCAGAGGATGGGAAGAGAGAAGCACGGGTGTTTCTTTCTCACTCCCTCCATGCAGGGTTAGCACAGGGTGACCGCTTCTCCCGAATGAAGGTTACAGCTCACATCAGGCAGGCTCCTCCTCCAGCCCTCAGGCCTTAGCGAGGAAGTGCTCCCACTGCTGCTAGCCCCAGGGTACAGCACTGCCCCATGTGGTTTCCCAGCACCTGCCCCACACCTTTGTAAATAGTTCTTTTTCACACTCTTCCCTGCATTACCCAATCTGAGTGTGCCATCTGTTTCCTGCCAGGATCCTGGCCAACACAGAGGGCTTGGGGGTGAGGAAGGGAAAGAACACCCAAGTTTAAAGGGCAAGGAGAGGGAGAGGAAATGGGGCCTAATCGACAGAGGAGTGGAAGGCAAACCAGGAGTTATGAAACCAGTGGGCGGCCAACAGTTTTATGAAGATTGCAAGGTTAAATAAGGATGAGATCTCAAAGGTATATTGGGATTGGCCATCTGGAGGAGGAGCTGGGAAGAGGAAGAAAGAGAATTGGGTGGGTGGTTCTGGGAGGAGGGATCTGAGTTGAAGATTGAGAAGAAGGTAAGAGGTGAAGAGAGGTGAGAGAAGGGAGTGGGGCAGAGGAGAGAACCAGGGCAAAGGTAGGAAAAGAGGCAGCAGGCCATGGGGTGAAGAAATGTGACTCTTTAGTCCAGGTGGGGAAGCAGGTAGTACCTCCAAGAATAAGTGTGGGGACTTCCCTGGTGGCGCAGTGGATAAGAATCCACCTGCCAATGCAGGGGACACGGGTTCGAGCCCTGGTCCGGGAAGATCCCACATGCCGTGGAGCAACTAAGCCCGTGAGCCACAACTACTGAGCCTGTGCTCTAGAGCCCGTGAGCCACAACTACTGAAGCCCACGCGCCGCATCTACTGAAGCCTGCATGCCTAGAGCCTGTGCTCTGCAACAAGAGAAGCCACTGCAGTGAGAAGCCCATGCACTGCAATGAAGAGTAGGCCCCACTCGCTGTAACTAGAGAAAGCCCGCGTGCAGCAGGGAAGACCCAGCACAGCCAAAAATAAAAAAATAAGAAAATAAAAAAATTTTAATTAAAATAAAGAATGAGTGTGTATGTACCGAGGCACAACACATACTTACACATATACAACACCCACACCTGCACGCGCTATACTCTACATTCACATGAACACACACACACGCAAATACGTATACACCACCATGCTTCACCACACACACCAAAGATACACATATTTGCACACATACACACACCTCACCATATCATCATCCCTGCACCATTCACAACAGTCACAACTGTAACTGCCAGATCCATAGATCCCACTGGACCCCAGGCAACGTCGGATCTTTGCTTTGCTGTGACATTTGTCTATTTGCTGGCATCACGTTAAACCCCGAGAAAAGCCTGATTCTGCCCACTCACGCATGAAAAAGGAGTTCTCAGTGTTTACAGCGTGGTGCCCGGTGCACCGTAGATGCTCCGTGGATAAATCTGGAATGGTTCCACAGTCCCTGGCTCTTACCCTGGGGCATGAGGCAAGGGCTATACCTGGCTGTATGTGCTGACCTCCTAAGTAACTTACTCAGGGGGGCCCTAAAGACTGGCCTCCAACGACCACAACCCAAATGCCTGTCCATACGATGGAATATTCTAGAATGAAAATGAAACACGTGCTAAAACATGCATGAATCTTTATAACATAATGTTGAGTAAAAAGAGCAAGTTGCGGATCACTACATACCTGCCTGATAATCTTTTTATAAAGTTCAAGAACAACGGAAACGAAACACGACATAATTTAGGAACACACGGCTGTGAAATAAAAACTTTTTTTAAGAAATGTAAAAGAACGCTAAGCACAACATTCAGGACAGCAGGTTATGTCTGGGAGAGGCAAGGAATGGACTAAGAAAGGATCATATAGGTAGATGGATGTTATTGCTGATGTCTGCTTCTTGAATGGCATTCACCACCCAGGATAATATAACAGCAGGCCAGGCTTGAACCAAGGATGAGACTATATCATGAACCAAGGATCATGATTAACCCAGTTCTGTACATCAGATGTCTTGTTACAGTAAATAAAAATAAAGACTGTCCTCTCAGCTTGACCCTAGTTCTGCTTATTTTTACACTTCCTCCCACAGCGATGCTGAGGGGTCACTGCAACCTTGCTCTTGGCAATCGGAGTTACTAGTGCAAGGCTGGGCAGGAAATGAACTGGGGATGAGGCCATATCTGCTTTAACACTGTTCTCGATGGGTCCTTTGTGGTAAGGGTTTCCAAGAACCAGCAGAGCAGTTGAAGGAGCTGAGTAACATTTACAAGAAATGTGTGCCTGCCCCACCCCCTAACCACCCCGCCCCATCCCCTCTCTCCTCCCTTTACCGCCTCCAACTCTTCCTCCCCACCGAGGCCCAAGTGAAGGGTAGCTCACAAGAGCCAGTAATGAATATTTCCATGGAACAGAACTGCTTACCTGACTCTCCGGAGTCTGGGGAAGAACTGCCCTGACGTCCACCCAGATTCTGGGCCCTGAAGGAAACTTGAGATGACTAATCCACACAAACATTTATTAAGTAGTAGTATAGCAGAGTGGTAGTGAGCATGGACCACCTAGGTCCAAATTCTAACCTGGCCACTTCTTAGGTATGTGACTTTTGACGTAGTACTTACTGCTCTGCACCTCAGTTTTCCCCACCTGCAAAATGGGGATAAATAATAGTATCTCCCTCATGGAGAGTTGTTGTAAGACTAAGACATGCAAAGCTTGCAGAACAGTGCTGGGCGCATGGTAGGTACTGAATGAGTGTTAGCTATTATCGCCAAGTGTTATAAAAGATGCAGATGAATCAATGAGACCATGCTCTAGTGCAGGAATTTGCAAACTTTTTTCTGTAAAGGGCCAGATAGTAAATATTTTTGGCTTTGCTGGCCATAAGGTCTTTGTCACAACTACTCAACTCTGCCATTGCAGTACGAAAGCAGTCATAAACAATTCGTAAGTGGATGAGCTTTATTTATTAATGCTGACAATTAAATTTCACATAACCTTTACCTCTTATGAAATATTATTCCTCACTCAGTCTGTTTTCAACCATTTGAAATGTTAAACCAAGTCTTAGCGTACAGGCCGTGCAAAACCAGGTAGTGAGCCAGACTCGGTCAGCAGGTTGTGGTTTGTCCCTCCCTGGTCTAATGGGGGGAAAAACATTAGCCCCTCTGGATTTCTTTGCTTTACCTGTATGTTCTGTGCCTCACTTTACAGGTGAACAAACTGACGTTCACCCTTCAAAGTCCAGTTGAAATGCTGCCTCCTCTTTGAAGCCTTCCCAGATCACCTCAGCCAAGGGCAGTAATAACTCCATCTGCTGCCTCCTTTGTGATAAGCACACATTTATTCATTACTTTTAAATTTTTATCATGAAATATTTAAGACAAACCAAAAGCTATAAAGTATAATGCAGACACTCCCCTGGCGGTCCAGTGGTTAAGACTCCACGCTTCCACTGCAGGGGGCACGAGTCCGATCCCTGGTGGGGGAACTAAGATCCCACATGCAGCGAGGTGTGGACCAAAATAAAAAAAAAGTATAATGCAAAAACCTTAGTCCTCACCATCTGGTTTATGAAATAAAGCATTGCCCAAACAGGTGAAGGCCCCTATGCAGATACCCCTCCCTAAATCACAACCTCCCTTCCTCTTCCCCAGAGGAAACAGTCACCATCCTGACTCTGGGAATTTATTGCCGTGTACTTCTTAGTACTTTTACTACACATAGAAGCATCCCTAAGCAGGAGGTAATATTTGTTTGCATGTATGTACAGCCATTATTTAACTGAATTTTCTTAATAATCCATTCAAGGAATATCTCTATTTAGAGATTAGTCTCAGAGGGTGTTATAAGGCCCAAGGGATCCAGTTAAGTAATGGTGGTAAAATCCAAGGCTGATTCCCAAGTCATGCTCTTAACCATTGCTCCCCTCTATATTCCTGTGGCCACACAGTCACGTTTGTTATCTGACCCCCTTTCCACACTAGATTTTAAACTGCCCAATAGAAGAGACTGTGACCTTTCACCCCTCCTATACAACCCCTAATATCTGGCACCCAGCATCTTGGCACTTACTATCTTGCACTCTTCTTCAAAGAGACACCATCTTCTATCATCCCTAGCAGTCTCAATAGAGGATGGGGAAACTGCCAGAAACTCACTTCAAGGGAAAGAAGAGTGGGGCTTTGATAGATTTCAACACATTTAGAGCAACTTTTAAGCCAACTGTCAACTTTACTGTAAAGGATGAGGCATGCAATCCTCATACTCCAAGAGATTGGGAAGAGCAAGGAGGATAGAGAAAAGGGCAACTGAGAAAATCAGCCCCCCAGAACCGAGAAATTCTTCCTTCCTCTCCTACCGCCACATGGGAGCCGAGCTAGGGTTTGGGATCTAGGCCAAGCTTAAGGAGTGAGGAGTGACAATGAGTGAGTGGTATTGTGGCCTGGACCCTCAAACAACCTGACAAGACAGCATCTGGGCCAGTGTCCAAAGGGTGTGTGCATGCACTGAGGGGAGGGAGCAAGATGATGAGGAAGGAAGAATGTTGTAGGCTGCTATTGATGCTTCTAAAGAAACAAGAAACGAATATTTACAAATACTTGACATGCACATTGACAGTGGTACTCACTCCACTGTTCTTTCAGGACGTAGTCAGGCCACGTGCACTAAGTGGATTCATGGGTTCTACCATCTAGTTTAAACTGAACTCTCACAAAATGAACAAGAGGCTTAAACAGATCCCTGCAAAGAAACCACAGACTAAAAATGCTAATTATCCCAGCACAAGCAGTAAGAAAATGGCCGGGCTAACATTTCACCTACTCCCAGTATAAGCTTTTTGTCGAGCACATTGGAGAGGAAAACTCTGTGTAAGTCAAAACAACGAATGCATTTCCACGCGTCTATTATCAATGACTAAACTCCACATTAAAGATGAAGGGAAATTTACACAGGTATATAGTTTCCCAGTAAACACTTATTAAGGGTACGTGCTCAAAATGTTTTACTAGTGGGAGAGACAATTGAAAAAATCCTCAACTGGTAGTTTAGCAAAATTTTGGGATCTTCTAGGTCAGCCTTGTCCAGTGGAACTTTCTGCAATGATGGAAATGCTCTATTGTTCCACAGCTACTAGTCACCAGTGGCCATTTCATGAAATCTGAGTAGCACTGGGAAATAGCCACATATGCCATATTAGCCCAGCTCTAATAGAATTTGCATTGGGAATAGAGGTTGGGATTGCATTGGGCCCCTCCAGCCAAATCTTGTCCACACAAGATTGGTTCGTCTACCCTTTGGCCATACATTCATTTCAGAAAGGTGACTATCCCAGTAGTCCTACTGAAGAAAACCAGATTCAGGCTGAAAATTCCCTTTTTCCTCCCAGGATAGATTTTGGCATTTACCAAGTGTTCAATTAACGCGCATTAGCATGCCTCTGCATGGACAACACTTAAGCCACAAATTAAGACAAAAGGTATTTTATTCAAAAAACGCCAAGTATAAAAAAAAAAAAATAAGATCTCTTTTATTCCCCTGTACAGTATTTCACTCAGATAAAACCAGCAGGCTACATGCTGCTCAAAACACAGCCCCAGAGAGGATCCGGAAGGCACACCATCCAGAACTGCTTTTCATAAATCTATGCTATATACACAAGTCAGCAATGCCCCTCCCCCATCACCCACGGACCCCATGCCCACTCGGGTAAGCAGGCGAGGGGGCCCGCAGCAGTCAGGGAGCTGCAGCAGCTGTCCCGCCTGAGTCCCGTCACCCTATGAACAAACAGAGCAAGCGTTGCAGCCTTCCCCAAAAGGTCCCCAAGTCAGAGGAGGAAAGGAGAAAAGAAAACTATGGCGGCAGCTGTGGAAGCTTGGAGCAGGAAGGGAACCAAATAAATAAATAAATAAATAACATTGACCTCCAGGTTAGAATGCGCATCTTTCCAAGGAAAAAAAAACAAAAAACCCAAAACAAAACAAAAAAAAAACAGGTAAAATAATTTAAAGGCAAAATTAAAAAAGAATTAGATCAACTACAACCCTTTTGTACACTACCATGCCAACTGTACACACATTTACAGTTTTTCTGTTGATTTGCATTGTTTGTGCATTTTTGTGTGTGTGTGTGTGTGTGTGTGTGTGTGTGTGTGAGGTCTTGGCTTAGAAACAGTTAAGTAAAAACCAAAAAGGAAGACCAGTTCACTTGGGAGTTTTACTAAAGGAGGTGGAAAAAGGGCAGGTGGCTCAGCATTTGGCCCTGTAGCCTCTTCCATGGCACCTTTCATATGAAGGATGGGGGGAAGGGGTGGGGGAGAAAGAGAGGGAACCAAACCCAGGCAGATTTTTGGAGAAGCAGCAGGTAAAAGAGGCAAGTTCAAGTATTTCTCCCAGCACAGCCGGAGTCCCCACAGAAGGCACTCAGAAGAGTCGGAAGAGGTGACAGGGACTTAAAATGGTGCTAGTCCTATCCCACCCCAACCCGATTTCCCCCTACCCGACCCATCACGGCATTCAGCAGAACTCCTGATGAAGGGAACAGTTCCATGGCTGGATTCTGATCCACTCCCACCCCACCCGCCACCCCTGGGATTTTGCAAAGTCCAGCAATGCTGGACACCGATGAGAAGGAGAGCTTCTATGGGAGGAGTTGAGGCCTAGGACGGCTGGAGTGGAGTCTCTTCCTCCCTTTGGGAGGCAGCCTCCAGGGCCTGGGGTCTGGAATGAGTTGTAAATGTTGTTCCTGTATCAAGCACTGTCCTGCTTGGAGAGAAGTGTCACTGGTACTTGGGAAGCTGGAAACAGACACTTCCCCTCCCTTGAGCATCTGACAGAGAGGGGAGAACCTGCCCGAGAAGCTATTTGCTGGGCCCTGGCAACAGGCTGTGGAGATGGATCTCAGCAGTTTCCTGGGGCAGGAGCACATCTTGCATCCACGGATGGTTCTGGATTTCTTCAAAGGATGGCCGATCTGATGGTCTCAGGGCCAAGCACCATCTAATGAGATGTTGACACTCTAGAGAAAGCAAGATAGAGGTTATGAATGACTCAATTTGTTTTTGCAGTTCAAAGGTCTTCCCACTTTGCTTCCCAGAGGCCCACAAGTCAGGGATCCAACAGAAAGCCTGCCCTTTCTAGAATGCTTATTCTTCAATGAGAAGGTATTAACTAACACCTAGATGCTCCAGTATGCTTTCAGCTAAAAAACAGCTCCTCTCTTAAACCTGTAGTTTTCAAACTTCAATAGCTAGGGCCTTTCCCACGACGCCCACTCAACAGAAATAGGAAAGGTGATGACAAGAGATTTTGATGAGACATCACTAAGCACGATGAGGTGATTCAATTCACCTACCGACTTACAAATATGAACACCACCCACGATGAGGTCACTGGAACCACAGTATTTAAGAGAGCCTGCCTTAAGGGAGAAGGCTCAAAGAGCCCTCAATTTTTCACTCCCTGGCAAAACAGCCAGGAGTTGGAGGGATCAGGATCCTTTGGTACTTAAAAAAAAACCTTTCAGTGAAACTAAATGGTCTTTTCTTAATATTCTCACACACGCTCTTCCTCTGACCCCCCACCAAGGCACCCTCAAATGCAAACCATGTGATTCCTGCAGACCGGCTCTCAAGTGTGAATCATTTGCCTAGAATTCTAAGGCAAGGGCCATGGTATCTCCTGGAGACTGAAGCTCTCCAAACTCAAAGACCATCCCTGAGGACTAACAGCCTCGTGACTCCTGCCTCTCCTCAATAAAGGGCTTCGCAGAAGTTACCTGAAGAGACCCTCTGCCTGAAGAAAACTTGGCCCCTGATGATCTCCTCATCGTGCTCAAAGGGAATATCTCCACAGACCATATCGTACAGCAGGATCCCCAGAGACCAGACGGCTGCCGACCTGCCATGGTAGCGATGGTAGCGGATCCACTCTGGAGGACTATACACTCGGGTCCCTGCAAGCCAGGGGAATAGGAAGGAAAACATACTTTTAGCAAAAATAAAACACAAAGCAACTGAGAGGTATGCTGAGTAACTCTTAAAAAAAAAAAAAAAAAAAAAAAAAAAAACACCACCCAACTTCTCAAAACACAAAAAAAAAAAAAAAAAAAAAAAAAAAAAAGCACCGCCCTACTTCTCTCAGCAGCTGGGTGAACTCCATTCCCCCCGCCAGGGCTAAAAGGAGTGGATGAGAAGCTTATGGCAGCTCTCCAACCCAAAGCATTACCCACTTCTCTACCAGCTCAGACCATAAACAGCTCCAAGAAACAAACAGGGCTGGCCACAGACCCAAAGCCTGAGGCCTGTATGTGGTAGGACCACCCTCAGTGGGAGGAGGGGATGAATATCTGCAAAATGAAGGGGGGTATCCCACAGACTACCCTTAAACTGCATTAAATGTCCTTGCCCAGGAGCCGGGTGAGAGTCTCATTTCAGATATGACCCAGGCAAGGACACTTGTACAGTATCCTAAGTCAGGGTGCCCTTTGAAAGGCCTTCCTCCCCACCCTCTGGATGTATGGGTAGACACCCACACCCCTTCCTCCCCACACTGGAAAGGTAGAGAGGCAGGGCTGGCTTCAGACCACGTGATTCCTGTTTACAAACTTTGAGTTGTAAAAAAAAAAAAAAAAAGTGGGGCCATCCCGCTGGTGCTCACCAGGGGGCAGCAAAGACTGGAAGGAAAAAACATGGGAGGACCCGGCCAGCCATTAACTGTTAAATACAAAAAAATGCAGCCCAACCCAGCGTCCTCCAAGGGCAAATAAACACAAACCACAAGCCCCAGTCACAAGTTTTGAAAGGCTGTCATTTGTTAGGTTAAGCCGCTCAGATGATGACCCACCCTCCCGTGCTTTGATCTCAAGCTCCCCCTTCCTTCTTTTCTGAAAGAACCCTCTCCAAGCCCCTCCCTAGGATAGGTTTTCATCCTCTCTGCGGAGACACCCAACTAATTTTCAAACCAGCAAGAGATCTTATTTCACAACATTCATTCCCGACTCCCTCACCCCACAACACCAAAAAAAAACAAAACCCAACAACAACAATGAATTATTTAGCGAAACTACTGTTTCTATTCCTTATTCGTCCCTAAATCAAAGGGGAGAAAAAAACCTGCAGCTCTAAAAACTACCTTACCGAAAACTAACTCCCTTATAAAACAAAACAAAAATGACAAAACCGGCGTCAATTTTCATCTCTCCCGCTCTCTCCTCCCCCTTCCCCCCTCCCATCCTTTTACTGGCGGGGAAACTGGGTCAGACTTCAGAAATCTGGGCTACGGCCGGTTGCCCGCAACCTCTTATTCATCGGGAAAGCTTGGAACCCACTGAATTCCACTTAAAAAATAAAATCATGCCAGAAACATTACAGGTTCAGCTGGCTTGAAATCCCCGGCTTTCCTACGCTGGGAAGCTCTCCTTCGCCCCACCCCTGCTAGCATAGAGCCAGGCGGCCCGATGACCTTTACAAAGGGCCGGAGAGGAAAGCCTACCCAGGCCTCCAGGCCAGGCCGAGTCACCTGGGCAGTTCCCTCCCGGGCAGCTCCGCCCCCAGGCCTGGCTCACCATCGAAGTCCGTGTAGACGGTGTCCTTGAGCAGCGCCCCCGACCCGAAGTCGATGAGCTTGAGCTCGCCGCGACTGAGGTCGATAAGGATGTTCTCGTCCTTGATGTCGCGGTGAAGCACCCCGCAGTTGTGGCAGTGCCGCACGGCCTCCAGCACCTGCCAGAAGAAGCTGCGGGCCAGCTCCTCCTGCAGGGCCCCCCTTTCCGTGATAAAGTCGAAGAGGTCTTGCACCGGCTCGGGCCTCTCCAGGATCAGGACGAAACTGTCGGGCCTCTCGAACCAGTCCAGAAGCCTAATGACGCCGGAGAAGCCCGAGCTCACCTTCTTCAGCAGAACCACTTCCATGGGCACTCGGGTGCCATTAGGCTGCAGGGGGGTGAGGGGGCTGCGTTAGGGCGGGAGTCGGAGGGTGCCCCTCACCCCACCCATCCTGGGGGTCGCCCCCTCCAGGGTACTCACCAGCTCTCCCCAGTCTGAAATGCGGTCCTTCTCCACGTGCTTGATGGCCACCTGGAAAGCCCCCCAGAGAGCGTTAGGTTCCCTCGCCCGGGCCAAACACACCCGTGCGCCCCCCGTCCGGCGCGCCCTCCCCGCGGCGGGCCGCCCACTCACCGGCAAGTTGTCGGCGACACGGATGCCTGAGTAGACCGAGCCGAAGCCGCCACTGCCCAGGAGCGGGCCCACCTGGTACTGTGACTCCAGGGGCTCCTTCTCCTTGCCTAGGAAAGGGGGAGTCACAGGGGACTCAGTGCCGGCCCGCGAGCCCCCAGCTCCTGCCCTGGAGGTCCAGCCGCCACTCCATCCTCGGGTTGGGGGGGGGCGCTCACCGGGCGCCAGCTTGGTGGCGTGCAGGTCGTTGCAGGGCGCGGCGCGCAGGTGGGCAAGAGAGTTGATTTTGGACAAGAGCATCCCAACCTCCAGGATGTCGGCGTAGGGACGGTGTCTGGAGGAGCTGCAGCAGGAGCTGGGGCTGGGGTTGTGCCGGTGGCTGTGCCTAAGGCTGGGGCTGAGGCTGCGGGTGGCGTTGCGGCTGCGGCTGACGCGGAAGGCCGAGGGCGAGTCGGAGGACGACTGGGGGCGCTGCCGGGGGCTGGCGGCTGACGGACACGCCGGCGGGGTCAGGCAGCACTGAGGGCGGAGGGGTGGGCGGCTCGTGGGGCTTGTGCCGCAGCGCCGCGGCACAGGGAGCTTGTGGCTGCTGCTGCTGCTGCTGCCGGTCCCGCCACCGCCGCTGCCGCCAAGTCCTCTCGGGCCTCCTCCGCCACCGCGGCCGCTGCAGCAGACACCCGGCTCGCCCTGCCGCCAGGAGTAAAGGGGCGGAGCGCGCCAGCGGGTGGGGGGCGCGCGGGCGGGCGGGGATGGGGCGGGGCCTCTCCGGGAGGCCTAGGCGGGGAGCGGGGCTGCCGGACCGGAGGAGGGAGGAGAGGGGGTGGGGAAGCGGCGGGACAGGGCGACTCCCCTCCGCCCCCGCCCCTCGCGCTCAGTCGCCGCGCCCCAGCCCCGCCCCCGCCGCCGCGTCTCCAGCCAACCAGAAGCCGGTTGATCTGCATAACACGGCGCGCGACGCCCACGCCCCCGCCCAGCTCTTGCGGTCAGAATGGTCTCTACGCCGCCACGACGTGGCGGGAAGGAAAAGGCGCCAAAATGGAGGGGGAGGGGCGCGGGGCGTGCGGGTAGGCGGGAGCTGGGTGTCGAGCCGCTAGGGAGGAAGGATGGGGAGGGGCGTATCGATTCAAACCCAAACAATAACAAAGCCATCAAAGGCCGCCCGAGGCCGGCTCTGTAGCTCTCCATTTCTCGGGGTTTTTGGGTCAAGGGCTCGAGCTGGAGCATAACAAGTTGCGCAGAGACGACGGGCGTTGGTGTCTCAGGCCGGGCGGCCGGCGCGCCGGGGTGTGAGGGACTGTGTGTGTGGGGATGCCGACGAGGGTGGTCTTTATGTGTGACTCAGACGCAAGACCTCCAAGTCGGCTTGGGCGGGTTGACCACGCGCTGTGGGCTCGGGTTGGATCTCCCGGGGGGTTGTGTGTTGGGAGCGCGTAGGGGGCGAAAGATCTGCAAGATATGAGTCACGGCGGCTTCACGGAGGGAGTGGAGGTGTCACAGGCCTGGAATAAAACGGGGAGAGCTCCGCTCACTCGGGGGAGGGGTCCAGATCGCGGTTGTCACAGCCGGTGAAAAGATCAGCCCCCAGATTCCCTAGCAGATTTTTATTTTTAAAATGCTGAAAGGTTCCAGTGAATCCTGATGCCTAAGAAGTGATGTGTGTCAGAGTGCCCTGTAAAGAGGAAATCACGAAGCAAATGTTAGTATTGTGATGCCAGATGCTGTCTCAGCCCCTTCTGTGAGGGCGGGAGAGAGAAGAAAATTCCTCATCTAAAGCGAGGGTGGGAGGGCGCGCTTGATTTAATCAGAGTTTTCACGTTGTATTCACCTTTTCATCAGCCTGTTATTACCAGTCAGGCAATACTAGCAATTATTGGCTGCCCCCGAGTCTTAACTCAAAGGAAATCCGCCCCCCTGCCCCCCTTGGAAATAACATGGAAACTGACCAATTCGACTTTCATCCTTTGTCCTTTTAAACTTCTTGTAGAGTTGATAACGACGTGTGAAATGAGTAAATTAAAATTCTATGTAATCCATAAATTGAATTGTCAGGGCCTAAGTAATTGAAAGCTAACTACATCCTATTTTAATTTTTTTCAAGTTCCTGCCACTTAAAGGAAAAATGAGGAGATCCAAGGATCTGAATAGCTGCAGTCATTAATGAATTTAAATGTTTCATTAAAAGTTTTCTACAGCACTTGTTATATAAAAATGCCCAGATATTTCACAACTTAATTTATCTCGTGAAATATTACATATTTTCTTTTGTTTGTGTACTGTGGCCTAATTCATTCATTTTTGATGACTAGGAGAAAACCCAAGGGAACAAAAATTATTCCTTCTTTTACAGATAGGGAAATGAAACATAAATAGGATGATACAGGGTCATACAACAGCTAAGAGAGGAAGAGATGAAATGACCCAAATTCAACTCCTGAGTGTTCAAAGCTTTCCTCTTATTGGGGTCTAAAACTGTCCTTAGCACTGAGTAAGACATCAAGTATCAATGTACGTGACCCCCACCTCTGTCCCCTCTACCCCTCCTTTCCTTTCATAAGCCCTACTGGACTGTTCTCACTTGTTCCCACTCACCTAGCACTTTCCACACTTTCTGCCTTTGTAGAGGCAGTCAACCTGTTCTGAGAATATCGTCTCCTCTTCACTTTTATTTAGTCTTTCCAGACTTCAGGACACAATTGTAGTTCCACCCCAGATTGCTAAAGAAACACCAAGCATTCTTTCACTGTCTATTCCACTTATCTGACAATCATGTGTTTCTTTTTTTTGGTTTTTAAAAAAAATCTATTAACTTTTCAGTTATTTATATCTTGTCTTCCCATTCCTTGAATGAATACTTTATCCAACATTTGTTAATGAAGGGGAAGATCAAAATGGGTCTCAATGAAAAGGTCATGATTAAAGTCAATTTATACCAAATTTAAGTGAATTAAGTGGGCTTAGGCAAAATAAAATAAAGGTTAAGAACAACATTTAACCTGAGTTAGCCTGCTTTCAGACCTGGGATCTGGCACCTACTAGTTATGTGACATTCGTCAAGTTACTTAACCTTTCTAAGCTTTAGACTTTGAATGGAGATAATAATAGCGCCTACGTCACAGGCCTGTTGTAAGGTGCAAATAAAATTCTGCACATAGGGCTTCCCTGGTGGCGCAGTGGTTGAGAATCCGCCTGCCAGTGCAGGGGACACGAGTTCTAAGCCCTGGTCCAGGAAGATCCCACATGCCGCGGAGCAACTAAGCCCGTGTGCCACAACTACTGAACCCCACGCCTAGAGCCCATGCTCCACAACAAGAGAAGCCACCGCAATGAGAAGCCCGCACACCGCGACGAAGAGCAGCCGCCGCTCGCCGCAAGTAGAGAAAGCCTGCGCACAGCAACGAACACCCAACGCAGCCAAAAATAAATAAATTTATATTAAAAAAAAAATCTGCACATAAAGAATGTCTAACAGAGTAAACTAATAAATATTAGCTATGACGGCAATGATGCTGATTGTGATTATGACAATGATGATGAAAAGGAAGAATTTTGGAATGGTCTTGCACCTTGGAGGTTTCAAAGATAAAATGCTAGCTAGTTTGATTTTAATCATCTTGGGAGAGAATGTGATTCAAAATAGTTCTATAGGGACTTCCCTGGTGGCACAGTGGTTAAGAATCCACCTGCCAATGCAGGGGACACGCGCGTTCGATCCCTAGCTCTGGAAGTTCCCACATGCTGCGGAGCAACTAAGCCCATGCACCACAACTATTGAGCCTGTGCTCTAGAGCCCTCGATCCACAACTTCTGAGCTCGCGTGCTGCAGCTACTGAAATCCACGCGCCTGAGCCCGTGCTCCACAACAAGAGAAGCCACCCCAATCAATGAGAAGCCCACGTACCGCAACGAAGAGTAGCCCCTGCTGACTGCAACTAGAGAAAGCCCGCATACAACAAAAAACCCACCACACCAAAAAAAAAAAAAAAAAAAAGTTGTCTACATTAAATCAAGTTCAATCCTTTTCACTTTCTCTAGATCTTTGTAGGGCTAAATACTTAATTAGTTTTAGCTGAAGTGATTAACATTTAATATGGTGGGTTCTTCACAGCTGGAAATTACAAAACATGGACCTTGCTTGGCAAAGAGCTTTTACTTACTTAAAACTGCTTTTAAAGATAATTATTAAACATTCAAGTATGTTTTGAGTTAAAAGTTACTCTTTGAAGGTAGGGAACTTGATGTTTTGATTCATCAAACTATAGTTGTAATAATAAAAACAAGCACAACTGGTGCTGTCTCAAAGATTCTAACAAAGAATCAGAAAAATCACACTAATAATTAAATGACAAGTGCTTCTGGAAATATAAAGGCCATAATTATGCTAACAGTTCTCTGGAAAGGGGAGAATTTGTTCATGTTAATTTGAACAATAGCCAAATTAATCCTTAGGTGGTTTCCATATTCTACCTGATATGGATTTAATCAAGTCATTGTCAAAGGAATGACTTCAGCAATTTCTGTAATCACAGTTTAGAAGAGGTTTGAAAGGGGGGATGCCTGTTCGCTGTCTTTTAAAGTACCTCTGAGTCTAGCTGATGCACTTATATAACTAGGTCTGTATGGCTCTTACTCTATAAGCTATTTGCAATTAATTGGATAGAAATAATTCGGGTCTGCATCTCATTTCTCTCCTAAAGTAAGAATTACTGCATTTTAAAATTTAATGTTTAATTTTGAAAAATTTACCATTATTTTTTATTTTACTCTCTCCTTGTTTGATGAAATAAATAGAAAGGAAAATTTGGAGAAGGTCAACTGCAGTACACTTCTTTTTATATCTTAAAATATGTCCAATTACCTCAACATTTATAGAATTATTTAGAAAAATTTCAATTTCACATGTATTTCGTATGTGTGGAATATATGTGAAAATCCGCTACAAACTGACATGAAACAGTCTAAATTTAAAAACACTGAAGCCTCTGAGAATTCCCTGGTGGTCTAGTGGTTAGAACACTGCGCTTCCACTGCCAGGGACCCAGGTTCGATTGCTCATCAGGGAACTAAGATCCTGCAAGCCGCATGGCCAAAAACAAACAAAAAAAAGACTGAAGCCTTGATGGCCAATAGGCACATGAAATGATGCTCATCATCTCTAATTATTAGAGAAATGCAAGTCAAAATTGCAATGAGGTACCACCTCACACTGGTCAGAATGGCCATCATTAAAAAGTCTGCAAATAAAAAATGCTAGAGAGGGTGTGGAGAAAAGGGAACCCTCCTACACTGTTGGTGGAAATGTAAATTGGTGCAGCCACTATGGAGAACAGTATGGATGTTCCTCAAAAAACTAAAAATAGAGTTGCCATATGATCCAGCAATCCCACTCCTGGACATATATAGGTACAAAACTATAATTCAAAAAGATACATGCACCCCTATATTCATAGCAGCACTATTTACAATAGCGAAGACATGGAAATAACCTAAATATGGCCATCGACAGATGAATGGATAAAGATGTGCCATATATATATATATATATATATATGACTGAGCCATAAAAGAGAATGAAATAATGCCATTTGCAGCAACATGGATGAACCTAGAGATTATC